GTCCATAAAAAAATATGCAATTTAATTTTATCATCTAAAAGAACCATCAATATCCTAACAAACTATGGGTGCATGGAATCCTAAATTCTTTGGCTTCAAAAATATCCTAAAATACTCAAAGGAAGAAACAAATTCTTGCTTTGAGAAAAACAAAATGTATTCAGAATAAACGAACGTATTTAAATTAAATCTTCTTAACCCATCAAAAAGAAGATATAGATCCTTCTTAGCTTCACCCACAGGTTCTTACTGTCTCCCTTTTCTAAAAAAATTCCCCCTTGTGCACCTCTATGAACCAGCATGGTCTCGATCCATGCAGCCATGGCTGTGACCTTGAGCTTCAAAGGTCACTTCTAAATTGTTGTATTAAGTTTGTTGGTGTCAGGGACTTCCATACCTAATTCCAGTCACTATTGTTGAGGCCAAGTATGAACAACGAAGCTATAAACTGCAATTGCTGAAACCCAGAAAGAGAAGAGATTTGTTTTGGTTGGGGGGGGGGGGGGGGTGTGGAGGTGGCCTTCCCAATGGGTAGACAACACATGGCAGACCTTATAATGGTGAAGATGAGCGGAATGATGAAAAAATGGCAATTAAAAGATAGGTTAACAGAGAGGAGAAGAAGGCGCCCAAACAACACAGTGACGATCATTCATTTTGTGATTGGCAGCTAAAGTTTCTTATGGATTGTAGAATGGAGGATTGTTGTTCACCAGTATGGTTTGTTTAATTGCAAGACCAAAAGGGTTTCAAAAGTGCTATACTGCACCACACTTTACATTTTACAATCATATTCATATTACAAATGAGCGAGAAGAAGAGGTGAGAGGAGAAGACTGGGGGAAGCAGCAGTATTGTTAATGATTATTGGTTCCGTTGTATTTTCCTTGCAAATGGTTCCTTTTCCTAATAGAAATCAAAATGTAGCACTATTCATTAGTCATATCATGTCATCAAACATTAATTGTTTTCACTTTTTAATGTTTTAAAGAGGAATAATTTTTATGTCTTTTGTTTTCCTTGTGTTAGCTATGCCTGGAGGAAGAGTATGGATTGTGCATGCATGGGGTAATTGAACAAATATTTTCAAATGACTAATTCATAATTTTGTCCTCACTGAATTTTTTTTTTTTTTTGGGTCTCATTTTGGTTAGGAAAAAATTAATTCTAACCCCTCACTTTATTTTGAACATCTATAATCTCTCAGAATTACTGTGTATAATCCCACGCAGCACAGGTCAGCACTAATATTAAAATAAACATATGTCAATTCTCTTAGAAAAAAATGACAGGTCTCCATCGTTCATAAGCATCCTACGAAGTACAAATTTAAGCAATACTAGAGAAGATGCAACTGTGTATAAAAAGTCTTGCTAACAGGGGACTGCAATTTGTATTTTTAAAATTTTTTGTTTTATGCTGACATGCACAAAGAATCTGAAAAGCAAAACTGCTTTCATGTTTTTTCCCCCAAGAAAAGGAAAACAATCGGTATGGGTGGGGTGAATAATACAAGAGCCGATATGTTTCTCAACAAATGAAAACAACCAAAACACGAGTACAAATTCTACTTTAAAAGATTTTGCTAACTTTGGCAACAGGTACCAAATTTCACAAATCACAAGCAGCTTGTAGCATTTGTGCTTTTGCCAGATAATGAAATTCTTGAAAGTACAGGGTAAAAAAAAAGGTTGATATAAACTTAGTAAACAATCTATAACAATTTTAGTTCATGTCTCTGCCAATAAAGTATATCAAGGCAGTACTTACCTGGTCTTTTCTTATGAGGATCATGTCACACTCAGACTAAAACAACTTAATGCAATAAAGAGACAATTATATATATCATGCATTGTCAAAATGTCAAAAATAGAAAACATCATACATGTCACAATAGCCAGAAAGACAAAGTCACTGCATTGGTTCATGAGATTGCTCAGAATAATACTTAAAGCAAAAGTAGTAATTGCAATAATAACAATGATGATGATAATAAATAATAATAAACATCTAGAATTGTGGAGTTGCTAACATGACAGCATAGGTAAATGGTTCCTTGCAAAATGCACATGATGAGAAAGACTTTACTTGGAACCTAGAAGCTTGATGACCATCAATAGGCTTATGAAGAATATAAGTTGACAAGTTGGTGAGACAGACTAACAAAAATATGACAAAAATATACAGAACAAGCTAGCACTTGCTTGGGGACGTTCATGTAAAGGAAGATGATCCAACTTACCCCCATAATAATTGATTTCAATGCTTTTTGGAAACCAAAAACCTTCCCATCACTGTCAAAGGTGGAATGCCACTTATCTGGCTTAAGCATTTTACTTATCTGCACCATCATAAACAAGATGTCTATACTTTTAGTAGTTCAGCATGAGGCAAAGACTTGTGTAACTTTGTTATTACAGAAAACGGAGAGAATTACAAATATCAAAACTGCATTCTTGCATTCATATCAAATTGCACAAAATAAATTGGATCATGTTTTATAGTTATTATTTATAATAACTTAAAAGATAAATCGTTGAATGGCAATAAATTCATAAAGAGCCAGGATGGAAATTCATATGTTTTGAGTTTGCAACTCTTAACCCCTTTCCTTTTACCCTTGAAGGTTCATTAGAATTGCTAGGTTAGCCCTTTATTTATTAGTCACTTCTCAAAATCTAATGAATACCCTCCCAGTAATAATAATAATTAAAACGATAATACCAATAGATAACAATAATCTTCTTTGCTTTCTCTGCTAAGCCATAGGGATAGGAAAAAATTTTCACCAAAGCCTTCATGGTTAAAAATGATTTTACCCTATCCATGAAATATGTGTATGTGTGTAAATAAACAGGCTCCTAAATAAAATAAAATAAAACAAGAAAAAGGTTTTGGTCCTATAATTTGGAGGTTCGAATCCTTCCATAATATACCATTCTATTAGAGTAAAGATTGTTTTCTGAACAACTTTTGGTTTAAAGGTCTGATATTGGATAGAATATGATTCTTCTATGAATCATTTCTTTTCCTTTTTTTTTTTTTTTTTTTACAAACTTGAATTGAATCTTGAAGTGAGTCAAGTTCAAATGACATGCCAATGTAACTAAGTCTGTTTCAGGTATCAAACCCTATAATAGGACAAACAAGAAAATACTTGATCCAAAAGGGTCAATAATCAGACATTTGGTAATTAATTAGCAGTATTTATGAATTAGGGCTATTCATAGGTCATCATTGTTCTTGATGAACTAACATTGTGTATGCTCTAGGGCTTGTTTGATAACACATATTCAACACTTAATATTTAATGCATTCACATACTTTAATAATGATGTCTGATAACACTCAGTACCTAATCACTTAAATCTGAAAATTTACTGAAAATTATTTGAATTGTAAGTGAATCAGATTTCATTTATTACCAAATGTTAAATATGATTAAAAATAGACAGCTTTCATTTCAATGCACAGTTATTGCATGTAACTTAAATTTTAAGATTTAAAAAACTCAGCATTACCTTTTTTTCGACTTAAAATGCAGTTCTTAAAAATTTTCAGCACCAAATTTTTGATTTTATCAACCAAGGCCACAGTTGATGCATTAACAGAATATATAAGACACATCATGCCAACATAATGACTAGAGTTATATTAGTGACATTGCTTTTTTTTTTTTTTTCATTCCATTTAATATGTTGAACATTGAATAAAGGAATTATCAATCCCAAAAAGAACCTACTGTACTTGCCCTTTTTATTTGTAGTCAATCCCTGGTCCACATTAACTCTTCTATCTCCAACCATTCATGTCTAATACACATCTTATTCCAATAATTCTAGAATGGCAACTCCATCATAGCTCTAAGCTTGGAACACCAGATCATCTGAAGGGATCAAACAATTTCATCACTTTATTCACAGTTGTCCATTATATGTAGCATCTCAGTGATTTTTCTCATTCTCAAGAACTTGTCAGAAATTAAATCAATTCCTTCTCAATGTATTCTTTATATTATGCCAAGAATGCAAAAAATACAGAAGCCAAAATGAACACTTCTAGGAAGGCACTGCATTTTGGGTGGAACACATGTCAAACCCCAAAACTTTTGCCTTCAAAAAGTGGATCAAAAATTGTTGAAAGTTCTCCATTTTGGAAAATAAATTGGCTTCTTTTAGATCTTATTAGGCAAAATTGCTCCTAACATGACTTACATGATGAATCCATCATAATAAAAGATGATTAACATTATTGGAAATGTGGCTCATACAATTAATTATGCTTTAAAAAAAAAAAGTCACAAAATGTATTCAGAACATACAACATGTGTCTAACCAATATATTCAATGTAAATAAAAATCATATGTTTGTGTTTGTTTTCCTGATTGAAATATATGACTTGAAATATATGCTATGAACCATAATCCAAATTACAGTTATTTCTTTCTTGAATCTTGTAATTGTTGGCTATAAGAAAACATAACAATATAATTTTTATGAAAGACATCCTTCAGGCTAAACCAAACAATTAAAGTAATGACATTTGATATAGAAATACTACATGCAAGAGTACAAAATGGATTTTCTTAATACAAGAAATAGGAATTCTATAATAAATCAGAAAATTTAATAAACCAAGCCAAGGGTTTTAGTCCTGCATAGGAGCAACTGAAGTTCCTATCTCAAATGAGCTCAAAGTCCAAATACAACTTTCACTTAAAAAACAATGAAATCAAGACAAAAGGCAGAACTATCATATGTTATTTCTTTTTTGAAATCATAGTGTCGAGGTGCCCAGCACATGTACTCATCATGTCTTTATCTTCTTGTTCAAACTAAATGCTTTCACAGTATAATTTGAACTAGATATTCATACTCCGACTCCAACTATTATTCAGGGTCAGACAGTCGTAAAAACCTTGGATTGGAAAAAGAATTATCCTCCTTTATCTATCAGGTATTCTCCAATTAATTATTTAAAGTTTTATTTGCTTTTGCTATTTTTGCCTAACCTATAATCTTTGACAAGCACATAAAAGAGCTGCTAACTGGTGAAGCACCAAGACTAGCATTTGTTTAAACATTAATTTCTTTGGAATCAATAGCTGCTCATTGAAAAAATGTTACAACACCATATAATGCTATTTTAAACTCAGAAAACATGACATGGATAATTAACCCGATTATAAATAAAGCCATAGAAGTACCAAAGTACAATCCTAGTTTTCCATTGTGACAAGTAAGAAACTTTAAAATGAAACATTACCTTATTTTAGAAGTAAACATCAGCAGAATTCAAGAAATTGCATGTTCAACAGGTAACTCAGTCCACAAATACGGAACTACAAAACCTATCATGACAACCTATTCAATATAGTTATTACATCTTAGACTTAGATTGATTTTCCATTTCCACATTTCCTGTGCACTTCCAGTTTGGTAAAAATTTAATTTTCCAGAAAGAACAAACTCTTCTTCAATTTTTTTAACACCCCATTCTGTATTAGGCAGAAATTGCTTGACTCTGTTGTATAGCCAGAAAAAGTATGGTAATAATAGAATTTAAAATTCATATTGCAAGGCTGTGAAACATAGCAAATAGAATGGTATTGCAAGGATGTCTTTGCCTCAAGTGCCCGGTAACAATATTTCAAACCTAAAACCCTATGTTGGGGGCAACAAAATTCCAGCTTACCACCCATTGCAATATTCAGACAAAATATCTAAAGCAATAAAATTTGATATGTTTAATTTAATATTGAAGCAAATTGAATGAACAACACATGGACAGAGTGAGAGAAAGAGAAAAGTTCTTCAGCATTCTTACTGCTATAACAACCTTTATAGGAGACTGATGAAGACAAGGCTCCCCAATGTCGCGAACAATAGAACTGACCCGATGTAAATTTACTGTACCTCCCTTTCCACAAATCCATTGCTTGTAATCTACTTCAACAGACATCAGCAGGCTGCGTCCTTCCCTACTTTCCTCCCACTCTCCCTCTTTATGCCTTCACTTCTCAAATTCTCACCCTCTACAATCAACTTACAATTAATCACTTAAGAAATTCAAATAAAAAATAACAAAAAGAACAACATAGCTAATTATATTGAATATTGACCAAATTTATTTCCTGCGAACTCCTGAAATCAAATCTTCAGATTACACAGCCAAAAAAAAAAAAGGAAGTACGTGGAACGATTACATGTATAAATCCCAGAATTTAGGAATTCAGGAGTCTGACGTTGAACCCACCAATCTCAGTAAAGCATATTCACTCACTCTCCTACTATGTGGCGTTTTCCTCGTATAAATGTTCACTCTTTGGAAACTAAAAACACCGAGTCCTGATCACCTCAACTGCATACGAATGATCAAAACAGATCTAATTTATCTATAAAATCCTAGCTGGGATTGAATCAACCTAAACAGAGAACAATAAGCCGATCCTAATGATCTTGATAACAATTAAAAGAAACAGGCGTCTATTACATATACATTTTGCGTAGAAAGAAACGAAAGTACATCCACGCAACATTAACACAACATAAACCAATACAAATTTTGTACAGGTATATCTATGCAGCTATCTATTTATATATACCTATACACATAGCGAAAGAGAGAGGGAGATATTACCTCTGGATTGACTGTGGGCATGACTTGTTGATATCTGAATGTCGAAAATTCAGAGATCTGTTGAAGATCTCCGTCGCCATTAACAGAGACCAGACCGTTTCTTGCTCTCTCCTTGTTTTCGCCTGAAATTTGCTTGTTTATTATTCTCTTTTTTAATTCAGCTTTGTATTTGCTGCGGAGAAATAAATAAGATCGAGAATATTTAATTAGCGTAAAAAAGGACGTGATCCGGTGCGGCCAAGCTTAGTGTAGCAACACGTCCATTTTCATCTCTTAATTCTAAGTTTATAATTATTTTTCTTTCACACAAATGTTGACTTGTGTGTGCCAATTGCTTTGACTTAAGTTCCCTATTGTATGATTCTTCAAACATCCAGAGAAAAAGGATTTAAGCTTTTTCCTAGTTTAGTGGATCCGAGAAATTGCTAATGTATATTTTATGGTGGACTTTAATTCAAATATAAAATTGATGTTTGATAAGGGACGTTTAAATTTTAGGCACAAGAAAAATTGAACTCAGTAAGCTAACACATAGAAATATAGTTCAAAAATACCCCAAAATTTAATTTAGTGTGTTAAAATAGAAATATAGTTTCAAAAATATCCCCAAAATTTGATTTAGTGAGCCAAAAATAGAAAATAGTTCCAAAAATACCCCCACAAAAAAGCAGTATGAAAATTTTTGTAAAATTGAGAAAATGATAAACATAAATTGAAATTTAGATAAATTCTTCTCTGTTATTTAGTAAAGGTACAAGAAATAAGCTAGAATTATGGAAATTATCAAAGCTCTTTTGTTTTTTAAAATTGTCTTCTTCCTCAAAACTTCTACAACAATTTGCTTATTAGTATTTAGAAATGTTGAATTTTATGCTACATGAATTTAACTTTTTTGGAGAAAAAAATTAATTTGGAAGATTGATTCCTTGTTAATGTGAATATGAGTAGATGATGTGACTCCAAATATCTAAAATTTTCAAATAAATGTAAATTTTGAGATGAAGATTTTCCCTCAAGACAAAATTAAAAAAATGATGAAAAGAAAAATAATCAACCCAACAAGCCTTTTTTATCATATTTTGCATTCAAAATTTTTCAAAGAAATAAATGGAAAATAAATATTCCTTTGTTTCTTCTTCTTTTAATTGGTAATGAGTTTACAATAATGAATTTGACATATTAAAATATGAAATTCCATCCCATATCAAATTTTGAGAGTAATATGATATAATATATAAGAAACTAAAAACTACTGTTGAACAACTTGAACTTAAGTATTTTAGGTCAGTGGTTTAGGCTCAACAAGCTATTCAAGTCAGTAGCTCTCAAGGACTCTCGTGTAATTACAAATTTATAACAACTTATAATTCCAAAATCATCTCAAAACTCTTTAATCGAAACCCAAAACCATCATCTAGATCCAAACCCAATATGGGGGCCTATTTACAATCCAACACCTAACTCATTTCCATATAACTATGATTAAATCCAAACATAAACAGGATTTATACCTGATTAAGAGGGTCGTCTTCCTACTTTCTTCATCAAGAGAATCCCGCATTAAGGCAAACTTCCAAATCTGCAATGGTGGCTTCTAACGTTGAAGAGACTTAAGATAACTATTTCACCTTCATCAACTGAATAAAGTCAAAATTAAAAATGATGGTGATACTTGCAATAATGAGAGAGAAGGCGACAGAAATTGATAGTTGTGTCTTGATAATTTCTTAAAAAACTAAGGCAATTTGGTGAAATTAAATGAGGAATCACATTCTAATGGCTTATATTGACGTGACTACGTGCTTAATTTAAGATCAAATCACATAAATCTGAAGGATTTGATAGGATTGCAATTAAAGTTTCAAATAAGGAAACAAGGATAGTGATCGAATCCAAATTATTGTTTCTTTACTTTGAGATAAAATCGTGTAAATCTAAAAAATTTAATAGGATTATGTTAGGATTTTGAATAAAGAAACAGGGATGATGAAAAAATCTAGATTTTGAAAATTTCCAATTCAGTCCCTCAGTTCCTGATTATACGTGATTTACTCCTTGGCTATTTCTGATTCATTCCATTTGGCCCCTTTTTGGTTTCTAAATTCTTAAATAACCCCAAAGTTTTGGGGTATTACAATTTTATCCCCTCAGAAAAATTCAATCCCCTAATTTGAAGTACAAGAATGATAGCTAATCTTATGTCTTGAATAAGTAAGGACATTTTGCACGCACCACTTCCTCTAATTCCTCTCCTGCTTCATCTTTCCAGTGATGTCCCTACAGTACTTTTACAGATACTATCTCTTTGGATCTCAATTTCTTAATCTGTCAGCTAATAATAACTATAAGGTCTTCTTCCTAAGACAAGTCTAAACCAAACTATACCTCATACGATGCAGATACATGCAAAGGATCTAGTATGTACTCCTATAACATGACCATGTGACAATGTGGGAGGTACTGTATGAAACTCATGTGGAAGAGCTAGTCGATAAGCCATTGTAACAATACAAATTTAGGGTCTTGAACAACCAATATGGATTGAGTTTGTGTCTTCTTCAAATTCTCATGGCACATTCCATTAGTGATGCTTGCATAACACATACTTCCCAATAATGTGCTTTAGCAATTGTGTTCGCTAATCAACATAAGCTTCTACATGCTCTGAGCGGCTAGTATCCTTTGTCTAGTCAATTGTACCGCATCCTGTACTACGTTTGGTCCTAGGAGTTTGGTTTCCTCGATCTTGAATCATTCTATTAAGAATCTGTAATGATGCCTATATAACACCTAGAAAGGCTCTATTTGACTACTTGCCTACCAACTGTCACTATTATAAGCAGTTTCTATAAGCGGCAAGTACTGACGCTAGTTACCCCTAAAGTTCATAACATAAACCTTCAACATGTTTGTGTAGTTCTATTATTCACTCTACTCAAGTAAGACTTATTTTCTTACCTAACCTACATAGGCTTCGCTACAAGGGTGGTCACAAAAAGGTTTTCTAAATATAGCAAAAGAATCAAATCACATATTACAGTGTACTAATATATAAAAGTGAGTGGATCTAGGTTCACACAACATTTACGCATTAAGATATGCTATTTGACATACCTATCACTCCTGTATAAGACGTTTGCATATCCTGCCTCGTCAAAGCATATCCTTGTGCCTGACCTCTCCCAATCTGGCCTTGTCCTTTGTCTCCAAAACCTCCTCCCTAAGTTCGAGTGTGCTAATCTGGAATTAATGGAGTTGTTTTGATCTAGTTGTCTTGTTTTCTGATCATCATCTCTCTATATCAGTGGACAGTTCCTAAATTTATGTCCAAATTTACCATATCAATAACAAACACCAGTCTCCACACACACTATCCCCAATGACTTCTCCTATAAGTATGACAAGGCTAGGAGTCTTAATGCCACAGTGCAAAATTATACTACTTCGACTGCATCACACTCCCCTTCTCTTTAATCAGAGCCAAGATAGTTACAAACAATAGTCCAAAATGTGCAGGTTCAATTTGCTTATTATGCTAAGAACCCTAAAATCCTAATTCCTTATACAAACTTTGACCACCACTAAACAATCCTGAAGTCCTGATCTTCTTACTTGTTTCCTTGAATGTACTTTGCTCAAAATCTCTAGCCTCGATTGCTTGGGTAGCATCTACTGCCTTGGCATAAGTATATTTTCCAATTTATGGAGCTAGAACTTGGAACAAAGGCTCTACTAACCCTCTAATAAATCTCTTGACCTTTATAATTTCATCTGTTACAAAATATGGAGTGTATCGGGAAAAGTGATTGAAACGAGTGTCATAATCCGAAATTGTCTTATCAGGTATCTGTCGAAGGCACTCGAACTCTGCTGTCAATTAGTCCCCCTTTTGCTGATAAAAATCTGTCCATGAATGCACTAACAAATTCTTCCATGTCATTGATCTTACCTCCTTAGGTCACTCAAATACTATGGTCTTATACTAAGACCAAGCCAAATCTATAGTTTGCATGAAGCGAATTTCACGCACCTCAGACTAGAGCATTTCATCATGTCGAATATGATTTCTATTGAATCTATAAAGTGTTGTGGATCCTCAGTAGACCCCTTCCAAAGGAGGTATGTGGCTTAAATTTGAAGAAGTCCTGAATACCTGGTTCTCAAGAGCAATCGCCCGCGGATCGTCTCAAAACTACATGTACATACTAGTGTCATTTTGGATCTCCGTCTTCTCTAAATCAATTCTTATCTAATACCTATTAGAATCTCTAAGTGAAGAAAATCTATAATACTATTAGAATCTCCTAAGTCCTTTGAACATAACTCGATTGCCATTTGTACTAACCTCATGTACTCCAGGCTAGTATTCAT